AACCTGCCTGTGGATCAGGGATGCTGTGTTTTTCTCTGGAAAAAGTAACACCTTCATTGTTGGATTATGACTTAACGGTGATTGACCACAAGTTTTGGTTCGATTTGACAGGTTAAATAAAGTCCTGACTGTTACCAGAACTGCAGAATCAAGAAATGGCCAAAAGGATTCATAAGATCTCAGGAGACAAAAATCACAGCACTGATGTGCCTAAATTGTAGATTTGACTAAAAAACAAAGTTTCAAAGGGAAAACCCCTGGTCACCAAGAATAACATAAACACATCTACCTAAAAGAGTCACGATTATACCAAAGTATTTTGTCGACTTCGCTGTCTAGAAGTTGTGCATCCTCTTATGTCTGAATCAGCATTTCAGAAAAAAAGATCATACCAACATTCAAACATCATGTTGGGTTACACAGCCAGACAGTCTTCTAAAAAATACCAGAGAGTCCAGCTCTGCATGGATCAGTAAAAACAAAGCAAAGATTTTGGACTAGTACAGACGAAACCTAATGCTGAACTGCAGAACAACCCTAAACAGGCTGCGCATGCTGAATAAAAACTGCAAAGACCAGGTCAAAATTCCTCCACGATGTAGAAAATGTAAAAGCTATAAGTTATTTTAAATTCTTTTATAGAGGCCGTTACCAAGGGTTGCACAACCAGTTGGCATTTTAAAGGTATAATTACTTTTTCACAAGGTGCCAAATTAGATTAGATACTTTTTTCCACTCTTACTGAGAACTGCCTTTTAGGATATAATCTGATATCAACATTTCTTTCATTTGATATGGAGAGCCATTTCAGCCAAAATTAAATAAATAAATAAATGGGTGAAATAAATCAAAAAATGAAGAAAATGAGTGAAATAAATAAAAAATGTGTTAAATAAATAATTTAGCTTTTTCATTAAACCAATTTTTAATTTATTTATTTTTCATATTATCAATTTCCCAATTTCTCTTTTTATTTATCTATTTTTCATTTATGCCTTTATCCATTTACCCATTTTTCATTAATCTATTTTTCCATTTAACCACTTTTCAATTTGAAACCTTTAACTATGACAAAAAACAGACGTAATCCAGGGTGCAAATAGTTTTTCAGAACACACTAGTTGACGTAAAAAAGTAGATTTGAAATTATGCAACAATTAATACAACTTACAGAGGCCAAACTTAAGTTTTAGATAAATTGTTTTTCTTAAAAAAAAAGGAAAAAAAAGAAAGGACAGGAAGACATGGTTGATTCAATCACATTTCTGTAAGAAAGTATTGTTCCGCCCACCATGCAGCGATTCTGAATGTTTTGGTTTAGGGAGCAACTGTTCCAGCAGCAGGGAGCGTTTGGACACACGTTAAGAGGAAGTCTTGTAGACAGTGCGGTGAGATTAAGGAGCTCCAGAGTGTTACAAAGGGTGGATTCTTGCCCAGGGCTCCCAGCAGGTTTCAAGAGATTGACAAGGAAAGGATATTGTATTATAGCTTTCATGCAACATGCAGTGCTGGAGCGATCCTGCTATGGTGTGAGCGCTCGCTATTGCATCCGTCATGCAGAGCCGGGGTGGTGATGATAAACAACTTGGAAGCTGTCTGCCCGTGATATCATGCTTAATGGCCCTTGCAGCTTCCTGGCAGAGATACAGAAGATGCCGGTTGGACCTTTCTGGTCTGGTCCTCTTTGCCTGTAACCCACCCTGAGAAATCAAATGGCAGCCGTCCAGATTTTACCCGACCCGACCGGAGCACCAAACAGCTGCACGGACAGTAAAAGATACTACAGAGGCCAGTCCATCATCAGACGTTCAGCTCTTCCTAATGAAGCAGCGCGAGCTCAACACCATAAATCTCTCAACTACAGCTGTCCTGTCATGTGGCTGGATTGAGGGAAATGAGATTCTGCCTCAATAACCCTGAATTTCCTCTGTTCGACCCGTTGAGAGTGCTAAAAACATTCGCCCAGGAGGCAGTAAAGAGATACAGTCTGCATGTACCGGGATGCATGAGTAGAACTTGAGCTGCTTACCAGTAAGGCAGATCCTGCATGCAGAAAAAGTGGATGAGGATGCTGGAGTCAGTTTCATGTTAAAAATGTTCTCCTTTTCCCCCCTTTTATGATGTGTGTTTTATATACAATGTGGGTAGACGGAAAATAATGTCACCCAGCTGGTCGCTGCAACGGATCCTGAGTCAACACTTTCCAGAAACTGTTGGGTGTGCTAATTAATTTCATTGCAACACATTAAAGAGCTGTAAACAGCTAGTGTATAAAGTCAGCCACTTAGCTATTTTGTGAAACTACTACATGGAGCAGTAACTCAGAACGAAACAAAGTCAATGTGAAAATGATACACAGAGAGCCTGTTTTTCAAAAAAGTTCGATTTTGGGAACCAAATGTAAGATTTTGTGGTATTAGTGGCCTTTATTCACCCTAACCAGACAGGAAATGCTGGTGAGAGCGGAGGAAGACATGCGGCAAAGGTCTGGAGCTCTGGAATCCATCGCAGGACAAACACCGTCCGCTTACACCACGCATCACACACAAAAAAACTGTATGTAGCTATAACTAGCTTGGGAGGCTAACGTGAGCAGCTGTTATTAAAAAAGTGCCAAAACTCTAAGTAATGCCCGATTAACTCAAAACATCAAAAATGTTATAAGCTTTAAGTCTACAAAAATGATCAAAACTTTATCAAAAGCCTTGATAAAAGAATTAGTGTTTTATGAAGCTAACTTTAATAAATCATATTAAGCTGGAGAAATGTATAAAAATCAGCAACCTTCTAACAAATACCACATTGGTTTCCCTTTTATGCTCAACACTGCCCAGATTATTTGCAGCATAGCTTCTGTTTGGTGTTGGAAACATGAGATTTTGGTTGATATTGACATTATTGCCGGTTGCTACAGATGTGTCAGCTCAGCTCAGCTCCTTTTCCACCGTAATTAAATTGAGATCTAGCCATTGTGAATTTCTTTTTTGGACCATTTTCTGTCAACCAATCCGTTTTTGAAAAACATTGACCAGTCCATTTTAAACCAGCAACTATAATATGTTCAAGTCATTTGACCATATTGTAACTTGCACATTTCTGCGTCTTTCTGTTTCTCAGTTTGAAAATCAGTTAGTCGTCTTCAGCGCGTCAAGATACATAAATTCTTGTAATCTTTTTTGTGAAATGATTTTGATCAGAAGCTTTTGAGTTTTTCCTTGAACCGTTGGTGTTTTTTGACTTTTGTTTTCGTGAGTCATTGCAAAATTAAAGTGAAAAAGGGACAACTCAGATCATTTTCATAGTACTGAATTTTAACCTATAAGCCAAACAGCAGCTCAATATGTCTGGTTAAACCAGGAGCAAAGTCATAACTTCAAAGCTTTCTGTTTATCCTGCTGATTGAAAAGGTTTTAATTTGATACTTGACTTATTTTTTCTTTAGTAAAAGATTCCAATGTTTCCTGGAGCAAAGGCCAGCAGAATGTAAAAGAAAACTTTTCAGAGGTCTTGTTTATAAGTTATGAGATGTCAACCATAGTCCCTGTGGATGCTGCCTGGATCAAGAGAATATGGTCATGTCTGGCTTCAAAGAGATTAAATTTTTCAGTTTTATTTTACTTTCTGAAAACAGTATGTCATCATCATGACATCATGGCTTTTGACATCTTCCAGGCATCATCGAGTTGAGGACAAAATCTCACAACTTTCATTGCCATTCTGCATGCACATGTGTGCAGACCAGTGAAATCCTTCTCCTATTTTTTTTTCTTACACACACACATGCAAAGACACACAAGAGACTCTTAAACAGGAAATACAGGCAATGATGCAATCTTAGTGTAATGTTCTGAGATGAAAAATTCTTACGGAGTGACAAACTTCAGTCACTCCATCACCAAAAATCATTACCCTTTTCTTAAACCAAATTTTTAGTGTGTGGATCTGTGTATTCTTTTTTTTTTTTGGATCAAACAAAAACCTGGAAACCTCATCGCAGCCCAGAGAAACTAATGCAACAATCTCTTCCTGCAATAGAAATCAAGCTGACTCAGTCAGTTGCAAAATAAGTAAATTATTTTGCTTAATCAAATGCATCGACAGTTAAAATCAGCATCTATTACAGCAAACCACAAGCCTGCAAGGATAAGTGGGCACAGACAATGGAAGGATGTGTTTCCCTGGTAGATTGACAGTAAGAAAATTTGCAAATTTTACCATCAAAATGTTAATATTTTCTTAGCACATACTGCCATTTCATAGCACAATCAAGTAACTATCTTACATGGAGTTGTTATGAAAATGCTGTATTTATCAAATATATAAAAGTTGACTTTGCGTCTGATGCCTTGAAATTAGCCTCTGTCTATTTAAGAAGCTCCTTCTCTTTCTGACACTTTGTCTTCAGTACGTCGTCACATTTCTCCATAATGCTGTTTACAACTGCTCTTAGGAGCAACCGAGAGGTAGTTCGTATGATTAGCACATGTGCAGTTCTACCAGATGTTTCCCAACTGCTGCTGCCACTAGTCTGGAGGAACTGTGTGGGGAAGGAGTGGTTTGTGGGGCGATGAATTGTGTGGAAAGCGTTTCTGAAACATACATGAAAGTATCAAAGCAACACTCTAGGTATGTTTTTGAAGAAGGATTAACATTATAACATTATATAAAACTCAAAAAAGTTGATTTTACATAACATCCCCCCTTTAAACCTTTGAGATTTCTGAAAAAAAAGTTTGCACTTTCAGGATCTCAGTGGTCCCCTACCATTTCATGTTAAAAGAATGTACTTTAACAGGTGCACAGTGTCTGCGCCCTACTTTCCCCTATCCTCAGTGTCAGTTCATTACTTTTATTTTATTCATCCTAGCAGTACCCTGAAGACCAAAGAGTTAGTCTTGTTGTTCTGGAAAGTTTGAGTAACTTACTCTCAGCTAATCCAAATCCTTACCTTGGGAAGAACTGTGGAAACCTGTCTGCGCTGCTTAACTGCTCATGCTCACCTGGAGGATCACAGCCTTTGTTTTGACCACCATCTTATCCACCATGCTAGGAAAAGTCAGGAATGACAAGTTCTGTGAGTCACTTCTCCCCCAGGACGAAGCAGCAAACAGAGTAACATTAACATTATGAGACTGAACTAAAAAGCTCACTGTAACTCATTGAAACAAAAATTGATTTCAGCAGTTCAGATTCAGTAGGTGGGATATGGATTCGTTACTCAAAGTTTTAAACATTTATTTCTCTTTGATAAATATGGCATATGGCAGATTAAAACCCCAAATCCAGTTAAGATTAAAATACATCATAATAAGAAGAAGTATTTTAATTGCAAAATGTTGGGTTTCTGGAAAGTGTGTCCATGTATCCCTACGGCTTTGATGGAAAGAAAGTTCACATTGCTTCACACGGCCCTTCACTCCTTCTGCATTGTTGTTTTGGTGTATATCACCTTCATGGTCATTACACCAAATATGCGTTTAAACTTTACAAAGATGCAGATTCCGTCACGGGAGGGAAGCATGAAGTCAGTGGGTGGTGCCTCTTGAAGCCTTCATTCCAGCTGCAGTTCACGGTTTGCAAATATTTGATCAAACTCTAGAAAGTTTCTCAAAGCTGTAGTTAACTTTGAGTACAAGCAAAGTTTGGTACAGAAGAACTTGACAGATCTGTGAAGACTCTGAACCTGACAGACTCTTCTTCACCGTCTCCATGCCTAAGGCTGCATGCTTTTATGTCCAACATTAGAGTCTGATCTCAAGAATGCACATCTGGAAGAATGGACAAAAACCAAAACAATCCTAAACAATCTTAAACCTTTAAGATATTACCAGAAGACTTGAAGCTGTTATAGGTGCAAAAGGTGAACCAACATTACAACAAATGCTATAGTATATACGTATAGTATATACTATATACTATAGGTATATATGCTATAGTATATGGTATATACCATTTACCAGATAGATTAGGAATGGAAGGTTGCTCAAATTCATGTGTGGAAAGTCTGACAAGTGAATACTTTTGGCAATTTAGTTGCTGAATTTCAAGCAGTTTGTGTTCTAAATTACATACAGGTGGAAAGCTGAACTCCAGCAGTGAAAGTTCTTATTCACTCCATGAAACTCTGTCTCTCTAGTTTGGGAATATATTACCAGCTATATAGCTTCTGACTCTCTATCCAAAAATAATTCAAAAAGACAGTTTTCTTCAGAACAATGGCAGGACAGGAAATATTCAAATGGCACAGGAGGGGAAGTTCTGGGTTTTTATGTTTGTGACCGCCGTCCTGTGTGGGTTTTAGATATTCTTTGTCCTTCTGTTCTTGTCTCTCTTTCACTAATTTATGACTGTAGTTGTATCTAAGGTTGCCTACTTTTTTTTTTTTTAGTTTTTCCCCTCTGCAAACTGTCTTTCTCACCAACTGTCCTTCTAGCATGTTTACTATTTGATTTGATCCTATAAGGTCCCCTAATACTCAGCACAGTTGTGCATTAGGTGTGGCCTACTATTCAGTAAATGTCAGATACCTTTGGGAAGGCAAGATTAGAGTGCTGATAATAATCCTTCTGTCTTTGTCCCTATACTTGTTTCTCTTCATCTTTCTCCTTCGCTCCTCTGCCTCGCTCTTCATGTGACCCTGCGCCTGACTCGTCCTCCTTTCCCTGTTCCTTATACTCTAGTCTTATTACTTCGTTTCTCATCTGTCTTCCTAATCCCCTCAAGTGCTGGTTTTCCTAAACCATATTAGCTCAGGGATCATCTTTGACTTGTTGAATTAAAATGGAGCTGGGATCTAAGTAGCAATGCTGTCAAGCCGAAACCTTGAATCTGTGAAGGAATTGGGCTTTATAATCTACTGGAACGTTTTGGGCACACCTACTCACAAATTCTCTTACAGGTTATTGCTGACCTAATTTTCAAAACACACGAATATAATGAGTAACGTTTCACATTTTAAGCAAGATTTTTTTTTGGAATAAATCTTGGTTTTGTACAACAGTAACAATGCACACATCTTTAGTAAACAGTTCAAATAAAACGTACATTGTTTTACGACAAATTAGCTTTAGAGCTAGCTACACTAACTGGATTCTAGGTTGGCATTCAATAATGAACTTATTTTCGTTTCTATAAAATGAGATGATCAATGGTTGTCTGGTGCAGATGAGAACCTGACTGTTCTCATCTGAACAGTCCCATTTCAAAAAAATCTGAAGTCTCATTTGATACAGAGGACTCAACCTGCGCTTCCTGTGCCGTCTGAGAGTTAACTTAGCTCTAAGTCAGGGTTCAATGACTTATACATTAGCAGATGGTTTATTGTTTTGTTTACATTATTAGAGTCTCATAACAGAAAACATTTAAATCCATGTAATGCATGTGCTCTGTGAGGTTGTAATTATCCAATGCCAGAATTTTTATAAATAAACATTAATTAGCAGCTTGTAATTAACACACTGTTGTCATGCCTTTGCAGTTTATTAGAACATTTAAGTATTATATAATTTGTTCCTGGTGATTGACAGACTGTTTTAGTGAAAACTAGGATATGCACCTGAATGCAACAGACCATTCTGTAGCCACTTGGTTTAGACTAAAACCACGTGTACATAGATAAAAAGACCAACAGTACAATATTGATGCAAATGAATGAACCCTCTGATCTCGATTTTCTCTCTCTTGGCTATATTTATACTAACAGGCTCTACTTGAATGCATCGTTTTCCCATTTGAAGTCTGCCCATCATTTCTGTTGCACCGTCATAGGAATGCCCTTTTGGAGGACCCCATTATGGTTATACCTGAAACAGATAAATGGATTATATGTATGACTATATATTGCTTTCTATTTCAACTAATGGTGTTGATATAAAATTGAGCAGTTAGATACACAGATGGTGCTTTACCAATATAAATAGACACTAAAATGTGACTGTTTGTCTCCGTGAGTGTTTACTTACCACACTCTGAAAAAGAAAGCTTAATTACATTCAAAGAAAAAGCAGTCGCTGACTCTGGTGTTAAAATGACAATTTGTGTGCTCTTAACTCACTGAAATGGCTGGAAAAAAGACAACAAGTTTACAACAAAACTTCTACTGTAAGAATATGTATTTTAGAAATAAAAAAAAAAAAACTTGGATCAAGGTTAACCACAGCAATGTGTGCTGAGCAAAAAAAACAAAAAAACAACAACAACAAAAAAACTGTTTGTGTACCAATTTAAGGATTTACCATGGAAAAGAAATTGCATCTTATTAAAAGAAAGTTTATAAATTATTATAAATAAATAATATATTATTGTTCATTAAACCCCACCCAGTGGTGCTTTGACTCATTCATGCCTTGAATCTCCCTTAGAAACCATTTGAGAGTGCCAAATGCCTCTTCTTACAATGCTCCACCCATTTACTCAAAGCTCCACCTCTCCACCCAAGGACTGCTCCTCTAGACTAGTGGCAGCAGCAGTTAGCAAACACCTGGTGTAACTGCTAACCTCTTAACGATTGTAAATATCGTGGAGGACAGTTGTGATGATGCGATGAAGGGGGAGAGTCGGAAAAGGGCAGGAGGTTATTAAAGAGACAGAGGCCAATTTCAAAGCCCCAGATAGGGCTGTGAGGTAAAGGCAAATTTATTTTGAGTTGCCTTTGATATATGCAGCATTTTCATAATAACTGAAGGTAATGTAGTTACCTGACTGTGTTATAAAATGGCACTGTCTGGAAATTGCATATACTGCCTTTTTATAATGATCTGTTTTGTAATTATGAGTAACTATTGAATCCTCAACTCAATTTCATGTTTTCAAAGCCAACTTTCAGCACCATTATGCTCACAAAATGTTTGAAAAATGAATATAGCTTGGACATTTCAGCGATGGTGATGAATGGACATCTAGCCTTTAAGTCTATCGAATTAATTCATGTGCTGAAATTATCACCTTGGAGAAAAAACACAAAATGGTGTCTAAAATCTGTTATTTTCTTTCTCCAGTGGTGCTTTTTAGTTTTCTGAATCCGTCTCTGATCAATAGTGCATGAAAACACTGTAAACAAAGCCTCCCATGATCAACAGCACATTAAATGTTCAACCATCCAAGTATTTATGCAACAAAAACTAAGCCAAAATGAAGAAACTGTTCATTAAGATTAGCAATGGAAATTTATTTATACAATTAAAAATCATATCAATCACATGTTCCGTTTCCTGAGCAGAACATAGAGTTCAATGAAAAAAAAATGACTGAAGAAGATGGAAAAGCAAAGATGAATAAATAAATACATTTTTAAAAAGTTAGTCCACAGGATTAATCTAAGTTGTTTTTTCACTCCACCAGAATTACTCCTTTCTTTTAAAGCTGATAATAAAATTACATGTAGATGACCAGTAATGCAAAAAGGTTGATGATGTAAGTTTTAAGTCAATACCTACTTTCCTTACTGAGCAATATGCAGCAATTTTACAGGGAGCAGATGATAATTCACTAAGATGATGTTTTACATAATGTGTGCAATGAAAAGCAAATATGACTCCAGGCCATGGCTGAGTAATATTGGTGAAATCGGAATCTTGAAATTGGAACTCAATTAAGAGAGAAATTTTCTGCTTTTATATGAATTTTACGAGCATTTGTATTTCTCTTTCAGACTACAGCTTCAGACTAAGGCTGAAATTAATTTTAGAAAACACAAGATCAATATTCATCCTGTTCTGATACATAATGCAAAGTTTCTTTTTGCATAGAATGGCATTTTTCTAAGTGGAGTTTGTCTTTTTTGTTGCATGTTGGTAATATGGGGTGGTGCTGTGCTCCATTCAATCAGTGACTCCCACTGGGTCTTAATGCCTACTAACGTTAGTGAAGTTACATGCTATGGCATGTTTTGGATAAGCAAACCGATTCACCATTTTACGATTTGTGCTGGTGTTTTTCTTTTTTTTTTTTGGCATGTCTGCTGAGTGATGTTCATGCAAGGACACCGGCCAGATTAAAAAATGTATGAAGAGCTTTGCTCGAACCTCAGAGTTATTCTGTTTGCCTTTATATTTTTGCTCTTTTTTCAATACTATCTGGTAAA